AATCGTGCTTAGCCGGCGAGAATTCGAAGGGGGGGCAAGGGCGAGAATTTTGGGAGAAGACCGAGGACATGGGGGAAGGGGGCAAAGACACATCGGTCGCGGGCAGTCTCGAGAATGGTCGGCACGGCCGAATCGATGGAAAGAAATTTATTCGTCGCGAGCGCCGGCGGCGGGTTTAAAATACGGCGTCGACGTTGAGACGCCGACGCCGCCGTCGCCGCCGCCACCGCCGCTGCCGCCGTGTCAGCGGGGTAACGCTGCGTCGCGACGCGCTACCTGGTAACACCGTGGAATTACAACGGATTCTTTCTCGTCGCGCCGGTATGCCGGAATCGGACTGGAATTCGCGGAGACTCGATGCCGGACATTTTTTCGACACGACGCGGCGGCGAGACGTCGAGCCGAGCCGAGCCGAGCCGGTGGAAGCGCGGTGGCCTCGCGCCGCCACCCGGTTATTACGACGCGCGTCCGAACGGACGGACAGGACGACTCAGCCCGAGCGTGGTGGACCTCCGCGCTTTTCGTTTTTTTTTTTCCTTTTTCTCCTTCTCTCTGTTACGGGGCCCTGGACAAATTGAATTTAACTCCGCCGCTAATACGGCCGGGCCGCTCCGAAAAACGCGCGCGACCGGAACGCGCGAGAATCACGCCGCGATTTATGTCCGCGCCCTTTTTTCCGCGCGCTCGCCGCTTACGGGATCTGCGTCGGTTTCTTTCTACGTAACGTTAGAGACACGTTAATGCTGCAGTTTATTTTGACGAGCCGAGCGTTACGTAAAATGTCTTTCTATATTTTCGGCAATTTTTCGAAATAATTTTGCAGGGAAACTGGAAATATGTTAAAAATGCAGAGAGTTGCGCGACATCGGGTTTCGTACAATTATTTGTTAATGATGTTAAAAACATATTTTGAATATTATTAATAAGTTTTAATATTTTAACATTTTAATATTAAAAACACTGCGGAATGTGTATAATATCTGTATGCCTTTTTTTTTGCGAGTGCTCTTTTTGTCGGCGTGGATTCAAGCGTCGTACTTTTCTGTACGTTGTCCCGCGACCATCGCAATTTTCGCTGTTATTAACTTGGGTGAATGAAAGTATATACGGTACGTATGTATGAACGTCGCTTTTTGTTATTTTCCTTGTCACTCGCATGGCGTATAGTTTATGGCGGAGAGGGAACCAATTTTTATTGCGAGAATAATATTGAATTTCGACAGTTCGCCGCAGCGAGGACGACGCAAATGCGAATTTCTTGCGCGCCGCGCCGGGAGAGATGGTTTTTGGTCAAAACGGGAGAATTATCGGACGGAATATGTAGAATCAGATAGAATGGCCGAAACGCGAATCGAATTGTAAGAAAATTGCAAAAGCATGATTCCGTACGTATTCGCTCGTACATTATTCGCTCGTCGATCGCATGACTCGTTAATTAATATCGAAGGAGCTGCGTACATAAGAGTATGGGAAATACAACGGAATTTGAATCTCGTTTTTCTGAATCTCTTCATCTTTTGATCTCGGTATGTAAAAATATATGATAAAAAGAAAGAAAGCGCGGTTTAGCAGATCCAGCAATATTGTTCGCTCATTTATTTTATAGCTCCTTAATAAAGAAGCTAGTATGAATGACAAAAAGATAGTTTGTTATTCTCTTTTAACTCTTTAACTTTTAAATACAGAAGGCCGTGTCAGAAATGAAACCATTTAACGTGATTAGTATGAATTAAAAACGTATGCGTTTAGCCGCTACATGACGAAATGAACTGTACCGAAACGGTTACCAAGATGGATATCCATCAATCAACGTGTCAACAAGTATATAGATATTATTATTCTTTCATGACGAGAGGTTTCGCGGGAATATCAAATACTCCTCGTATATTCGCGAAATATGTTAATTTAGTAGATAACATGTCGGTGCAATGGATAAGAAAAATTATTAATGACAATTGTTAATTTATTAGAATGTTTCGCACATATTTATGGAAACGTATAAGAAATTTTGACAAATATATTTGACTGTACATTTCAAATGAATTTTTCAGACATCCTCCATAATAGCTATAAATTTTTCTCGGATTGTCATTTTGAATAATTGTTAATTAATTTCGCTAAATCGGGAATGTGAAGTACCGCGTATGAATGTGACGTACGTTTTATTTTATTATTAGGCTTCAATCATCGATCTGCATGCGTACCGATATATAACGCGATACCGTTTCCGATATGCTAAAAAATGTACTGACGTCGCCGGGAATATTAAGAAAAACTGTCAGATCCGCATTGTGTCGGTCGGAAGGATCGAATGATTAATGAGCAGTTAATTACCGTATTGAAATATGTATGACAAACTTTCGCGATATTCGACAGTTTTGAGAATCGCGAAGCTAAGGCATTAATTATATGACTCGTAAAACTTGCGCGATTTTTCATTCGCGCCAAGCTCGAAGTTAATTCGAGGTAAATTCAGTTCTCATTCGTTGAACAAGATTAGCGTGAACAAGAAAACATTGATTATGAAACGCGTCTGCGAAGTTTGTCATTTTACGCTCATAGAGATTCTTCGCGACTGAAGCAATTACCGTGCGCATTATCGGGGGAAGGAACTCGCGTTGGCATATTCGTTATATATACAAATGTTAGAAACAGTGTAAAATACGAGCAAATAAATTTTTAGCAGATATATCCAAGATATAAATTTATGCAACATAATATTTGCATTTATGCCAACTTGCGTACATGCGCGTTGCACATAACGCACATCGAAATAGATTATACACATGTATCGAAACGCATGTCATTCACATTAGACCTATGACAGAACTCATATCGCGTGCGTAAATGCTGATCTCTCTCTCTCCCCCCCTCCCTCTCTCTCTCTCTCTCTCTCTCTCTCTCTCTCTCTCTCTCACATCGCCGCGCGCTAGAATGATTTTACGAAATATATAGACTCGATCGTGGGCGATCGAGTTGCGGCTCGTAACCCTCAGGAGGCATTTTTCTCTCTCCCGGCCGCCTCTGCACATTATTGAATATCGCCTATTTGTCGAGCAACGTCTTCTTGCTCGTTCCGCCGCGCTTATCGCGTCACTGTTTCGCCGACTTTTCCTTCCTACTCTATCTCGGCCTCCCTCCGTCCGGGCCGGGCCGCGCTTGCCAGAAATATCAATTTGCGCGGGAGTGGTAACAGTTTGCTTGATTTGGCACGGCGTAGCTTACGTCCGAAATAAATCTTCGCGAGTGCAGTGTCGGTGCCCGCCCCGGAAACCGATTGTCTATGCGGATTTGACATGAGTGGCGCACTCGTCCCGGCTTCGCGGACGATATCTCATTCGCCCTCGCGTCTCGACTCGCATCTTATTTATCTAGCCACCTGATCGATATTTCAAACAAAAAAATAAATAAATGCGCCTTCCACGCGTTATGAAAATCTACTTACAAAGTTTTATTTAATCGTTCTCTTTAAACTCGCTAATGCCATAGAGCGCGATTCTGTTGTTACACTAACGCTGAGAGTTTGTACCTCCCCTCCGATGTAAAATTAAAAGGTGCCCATTGAGAGACAAGCGCGGCAGTAGAAGTGCATAATAAATTAAAACGACAAACACAGTAATTGTTGCTGCGACAATGAGCGTTCTGTCGCGTGGAAGTAAATGTGCTCAGAAAACAATCTAGGTACGTTTGAGCATGTTTGGTATTTTGGAATGTATATAGCAATGTCGTTAGACATTTTTACTTTTTCAATACTCTTCCTACTGTTTTTGCGTGTACCTATTTAATCTGATTATCGATTTTTTATATAAAATTACTGAAGTAAATTATTCTTTAATATATCTAGTTGTGTCGGTGGGATATTAGACAGTAGTGGAAAAAGAAAAATAAGTAAACATAATTCTATGCATAATAATTAAAATATTTCGACCAGAATCTCGAAAAAATTTTTTTTTCACCATCACAAAGCTTAATTATTTCTCTATGAGAAAGCAAAATGATATAATATAACCGTAAATTACGGAGTGTTTATAAATTATCTATTTTTTATCTTTTCTAGGATTGAGTGTTTTATCATAAAAATAAAATAAATAAATAAAACATGGAGCGTTCGCATTTCGATCTATATTCTTATTGCACTTTGGGAATGCAAATCACCTTGCGGAATACGTCACCGAAGAAGTATGCGATATTGGAGAAATATCCTTTTACTAAGAATTTTACTTAACTATAATTGCGGATCGCATTTTATGACAAATATAAGAATATCATTTTAAATCATATTACACGTGACGCACAATTGAATTATATGTCGAAATTGAATTGAGCGTTCGGAAGATCGATTCGTTATTCGTAAGAGTCGAACGAATCTTAATCTCAAGCCGATCGCGGAATGATTCGCGATGCCCTCGGCCTTTCCCAGGAATCGCGGTCGTCACAAAAGCGACTGATGACGGCGGTTTTTTGCGCGTAAGAAAAGCCGACGAGAGAGACCAAGCCACACGCGGGAAAATAATAACAAGAGGAGAGCCCGCGGGGTTTGGGTGTAGATGGACCAGGCGGGGAGACGCGCGAGGGAGATAGTGGTGGATGCATAATTGAATGAAAGCGTGGCGAACAGAGCCAAGGGGTAGTTCCTACGACTGGGAGGGGGTGGAATGCTATAATTTCAAGCCAGACAGTCATGCGTTATTCAGCGTTGAGGTACAAGTTCTCTCTCTCTCTCTCTCTCCTCTTTTCTTTGCCTTTTCTGCGATTCTCTAAAGGGGAGAAAGTACCGCCTCTTCATTCTCTTCTCTCCCTTTTCATTTTGTCGCACTTTGGTCCCTCTTCTCTGCCTAATTCTTAATCGTTCATTCATTATCCACGATTCGTTTCCGATTCGCGACTCGCGAAATAAGTCGACCGCGATAATAATCAGTGCAATGATGTCGAGACGCGCACGAAGTTTGTAAGATCTTCGCACCACTTATCTAATCTTTTCTCTATTGGCCTGTACACAGGACAGTGACAACCACTGGTGGGAGTCCTTCGCGAACGAGTTCTTCGAGGAAGATGCCACCCTCACCCTCCACGTCTGTTTGGAAGACGGACCGAAGAGATATTGTGAGTATTACCGATTATTTGATCATATTTGCGTTTCGTACAGTCAGCGACGATTCGAGGAAACGTTTAAAAATGTTTTTGTACATAATGAAAGTAAGTGAGCGGAACCCAACTGTGACATTTTACTTTTGACCAGTATTATTGTGCGGAATTTTATTTCTAATTAGTAACAAAGAAGTTGCTTTCTTTCAACTCGTAATCATGTCCAATCAAAGGATCTGTCTTAATAATGCAGTGGACGAGCGAGGCATTTTTATTTTCATGAAAGGAGATGAAAACAAAGAAAAAAGTTGAATTGTAAGCAAAGTATCTTTTCGAGAGCAAGGTGATAAACCCTCGGACGGAGTTTCCCCGACATTCTACTCATCGTTATCTGTGTTAATGCAATCGATTTCCGCCAGCGCGAGATAATTTCTTACATCTTTGCGACATCGCACGCGATTCACACATTGTCACCGATACTTAATCGCCGGCAAGCTCACGCGGGTACCGTCTCTCCTCTAAATAATGACGTGCCACCGCGCGGCAATCTTGCAGTCGGTAGATTTTAATGTCTGTTCCACACGCCGTCTCGAAAATATACGACGACAACGTGATTACATGTCGTGCGGATGCATGCCGTCGTCATCCGGGTATAAACGACAGGGCATCCGCCATCCGCGCGCGGTAAGACGCGCCCCCGGTACGAGCTCGGTGCGATGCGAGATGCGTTTTGCAATTAAATGGAAAAAGAAGATATTTCTCACTCACAAGTGTCATTTTTCCCGTCATCATTACGTTTTCGATTTATATTTGCGTCGCTCTTCTTAATAAAATTTCCTCCTCCGTTTTATATTCTTCAAGAATTTGTTGTGGGATTAAACATTGAAAATTGAACGTAACAGTTTGTTTTATTTAGCATTGTTTTTTAGTTATTCGGGAAGATACATCAATTTTGCATGCGTTATACGTATATCGTGGAGAATATTATTGCGCTCAACATAGAGCTCAATATCGATCGACTTAAGCTGTCGATCTTAATCATCGCCCTGCTTTTCTCGCAACGGGCTCGTGGTATTTATTTCTAATCGTTTCCATCTTTATCCTTTCAGCGATAGGAAGGACGTTAATACCTAGGTACTTCCGTTCGATATTCGATGGCGGAGTGACGGAACTTTACTACACTTTGAAGAATCAGAAGGAGTCGTTTCATAACACCAGCATAACGCTGGACTGTGATCAGTGCACGATGGTCACGCAGTACGGAAAGCCGATGTACACTAAGGTACGAACTACTCTGCAGAATTTATTGCTTGTATAGAACTACGCTTTTGATATTTATGTACCTAATTGTTGAGTTAAACGAAAATAACTAACAAAAATAATTAAAATAGATCGAAGAAATATCTCTGATACGTTATCATAGTTTAAATAGAAATGTATGGACTATGATCAATAATAGAAAAGTTTATTATTATGTGTACTATGTATATATTAATTATTATATATATTATATAATATATACTTTTAATTAATATATTATATCGCTATAAAAACTACCGTTTGCGCGTCGTGAGTTGATACAATTGGAAAAGACGATTTAAAAAAAGAGAGATAAAGATAAGGAAAGATTAAAGTTGAATTGGATCTCCATAATTTCTGTAAAAACTGTTTTCTAGCAGGAAGTTTAAGTTCTGCGAACTCTCTTTACAGCGACGCGCGAAATCAAGCGCTCTCGAAATAGCCGAGGCAGATATTGTCATCTGAAACTTATTTTAGGTGTTAACGGAGGGTAGGTTAATATTGGAGTTCACCTTCGACGACCTCATGAGGATAAAGTCGTGGCATATGTCGGTGAGGACGCATCGGGAGTTAGTACCGAGGAGCGTTGTCAGTATGCAGCAGGACCCGACGATGCTTGAGCAGATTAGCAAAAACATCACCAGGCAGGGCATGTCCAACTTCACTCTCAACTACCTTAGAGTACGTATTCTCCACAGTGCCGTCTTAATTTTACGTTGACGCATCAGTGCATCAGATTGACAGCGTTTAAATTGAATTGAAATTTTCATGTTTTATTAAACTTCCTTGACAATAAAAAATCTTTAGCGAAGAGACCAACTTCGAAAAACTCATAGATAAGAAATAGGTATAAATCGAATTGTGCTTTCTCGATTATTTTGGCATAAATAAATGCAAACACCTCAGATATTTAAATCGTAAGTTTGGAATAAACAAAGAAAAATAACATGATTACATGCATATTTAGCAGTAAACGCATAAATCAATATACCGAAAGACGAGGGAGGAATAGTTCGTTGCGTATTGATTTATAATTGAATTATAACGGAAAAACGTATCACCAACATGATAGTTAGAAAATTGTTGCAGCAAGAAGGTGTGTCGTTGCGGGGCTAGATCGGAAACGCGGTATACGCCTGCCTTCTCGAAAGTATCTCCGGCTATCCGGGTTACGAGCCACCTTTTTTCCGCGCTCGGAAGCGCTTTCACCGGAGGGGGGTCAACCGCACATTCCGCGTGTATCGTCTCGAGCCAGTTGAAAAGCCCGTCGATTGTTACGTCGGGAAAGTCCTCGCCCATTGTTGAACTGGTATACGATATTCGGAAACGCGTAGGAACGGTCGCGTCTCGAATAATTTCTCCACGCGGGCGGAGAATCGCCGACGACGAAGAAAGGCTTCGATTGATTTACGGATGAACGTGTCATCGCGCGAAACTCCGGTCGTTTCTTAAATGATAGTTATGCTATTCACCATTTACGCGCGCCGCGTAACGTGATGTAACAGTGTTACTCACGCGAAAATGCGTGTACGCACAGTATAGTTCCCGGTTTGAGAATGTATATGGAACGTATCGACAGAAACAGAAAATTTATACATTTTCCATGAATTTTTTAGGACTCAAAGAAGTTATTTTGTTTAATTTGCACTACATATATTAGAATATTGTAGAAATATTTAGAACCATCTAAATTTTATGCTACACACATTTGTTCGTACACTCTGGCTTAAAAGAGATTTTATGCGCTATCGAAATTAGTAACTTTTCATCAGAGTTAAATTATATACGATTCTTTTTACAGTTATGCGTTATTCTGGAGCCAATGCAGGAACTAATGTCGAGGCACAAGGCGTACGCGTTGACACCCCGTGATTGTCTGAAGACGACCTTGTTCCAGAAATGGCAGAGGATAGTTGCCCCGCCGGGTAAGAGAGGTAGAAGAACAGTTGCTTTACATGAGAAGCACCAGCCAGTGGAGCCGAACGGCCGTCCTAATAGACAACGTGAAATCGGTTTTTGCTATCCGCGAAATGACGCATTTGTCGTCGATTTTCATTATCTCTTTGCCACGATTCTTGGTTCCACCGGTTTTTCCTTGTCGAGCGTGGATTTTAGCGTTTCTGTTTGAAATCTTCCAACAATTAGATGCACTTTCCTTATTGACAGTTTTGCTTTGCTTGTTTTATTAATCGAATTTAAGCCAAACGTTGTTTGAGTTATTTTACAATCAAATTAAGCACTACTATGACTGAAACTTTGATTTTATTTTAATTTTACAAATTATATCAATTGATATTAATGACTCGGTTATTATTTGAGCTTTTAACGTTACGTGATATGTAAGCTTCTAGCGTCCGCTTGTCGCTATCTTTATCGTGCTTGTACGTGCACCGCGTTTTCCATTTCACTTGCGATTTTGTATAGCTCGGATATATCTACCCGGTATTCGTTCAAACTCGATAAAACCGTGGAACCAAGCGCGTATAACACCAAATAGTATGATGCCAAACGTGTTTCTCTGTAAACGTGGCTTGAGAGTGCTCGTGAGAGAAAGATAGAAATAAACTTGACACATATGCCTATGTGTTTGTTTGTCTATCAATGCATGCTTGTGCTTGTGCGTGTCAGAGACCTTTGATAATGAGAAAGGTCCACAGCTGGGTAGTGCTCTTAAGTTTATCAGTGTGTAGCTTACACACGTGGCCAACCGTGGCCGACGAATGCGCGCGGCGTCGTGCTCACGACAATTTTCTTTCTTTTTCAGAGTCCCAGCGGCCGGCTAGCAAAAGAAGAAAGCGGAAGGGCAGCACGTCCGGGCCGGGCAACAACGCACCACCCGCACCTAGCAAAAAACGCTCACCAGGGCCAAATTTTTCTCTAGCGTCGCAGGTAGATCTCTCGATTAGTTTTCTCAATTGAAGTAGCACGATCGTCGACAAGCACAGGCGATAACTAAATGTTTCTTTACTTCGATCTAGGATGTGATGGTCGTGGGTGAACCTTCTTTGATGGGTGGCGAGTTCGGTGATGAGGATGAGCGATTAATTACAAGGTTGGAAAATACGCAATACGACGCCGCAAATAATCTGGATCCTCACAGTCATGACGCGTCCGGTGGACCGCCGCCACATCCTCATCAGTTCCACTCAGAACCGACACCGGGTAATTCCTGGCCGCCAGATCGTGGTCCTGGTCCACCACAGGGAGGTCCTGGCAGTCAGGTAATCATTTCTTCACAGCGAACCCAAAGCGTTAAATCGAAGAATGCGCCTATTACACGCGCGCAATTCATTAGAATACATGTGGATATTCAACAAGTTTCAAATCTTGCAAATCAGTTAAACTAATATTCATTAAAATAACTGATATCAGATATTGAAACAGTTACTTGACTTCTGAATTCGGAGATAGGTGTCATTATTCCGTTGATATCTCGGAAAAACCAATACTAAAAGATGCTTGACTCGACAGAAGATTAAAGACAAATAAAATAGAAGGTTTAAAAAAAAGGTATTACTGATTCCATTTTCGAATACTATTCAGAATACTATTCAGAGCGCGTCATGATATTGCATGTGTGTGTGCTTCAGGGAGTTCAAGGTGGTCAAGGGGGTGCGGCCGCAGGTGTACAGGGAACGCAGGACGCCAGTCAACAGCAGCAAGACAAGAAGAGCCCCGCGGTGAGCCAGTGAGGCCAGGAGTCCCCGCGCCCCCCCACCAGGGGGCGACGGGGGCGCAGGCCCAAGAACGTGGCTCCCTAGCGGGGCGAGAATCCTAGCCTCCCCACTGCCGCCGCCTATTTGGCCTCCGCGGCCGGCTCCATGACTGGCAGGTTGTCGTCGCATGTCGGCATGCTACCGCCATTGGCCTGCCAGCCCGGCTTGCCAACAGCAGCACCGGGCCACCATCATCCGGAGCAGCATCCGCAGTTGGGTCACGTGGCCGCCGCCGCCGCCGCCGCCGCCGCTGCCGCCGCCTCGATGGGCATGGAGTCCTCGGAACTGATGGCGGTGGCTCATTACCAGGCGCAACAGCTGCAACGACAGTTGTTGGCCGAGCAGTCAGGTCCGGGCACCACGATGCTGCTGCCTACGTCTGCTCAGCCTACTGGTGGAGGCTTGATGCAGCCGCAGGGGCTCCAAGGGCAGCAGGGCCAACTCCAGCCGGGCCAGGACCCGTTACAGAGCTTGGTGCAGCAACTGCTCTGTCTACAGCAGATAGAGTATTTCCTCGCGCAGCGCGGTCACAAATGAGTACACTTTACAGTACGTAAATATGGGTCATTTCGCACGAGAAAACGAGATGATCAGACCAGAGAGCGACGTTTGGAACTCGATGTGAGTGGGAAACGTGTTTGTGCAAAAGTGCTCTGATACTGCTGATTCGGTTTCGCGTCAAATTGTTGTACGACCCGCTGACGCCGTTGATGTTGCGACGCTGTCGAGAATGAGGACGGACAATATGCGGCGGCATCTGCTCGAGTTTGTACCGTTTTTTCTAATTCTCGAACGGAGGGGAGGTAGCGCGGTGTCTCCGAATCCACCACGACGATACGGGAAGATTATGGAAGAAACTGGATGATGGGAGCGCCAGACAGGAAAAGGGGAGAGCGGCAGTTGCCACCCGTTTATTCGTGGAGCGCTATATCGTTTCGGGACATCGTGCGAACGGACGACGATCTCCGGGATAGAGGAGATCAAAGTGTTTTAGCGTGTGATAAAAAAAACTTTATGTCAAAAATTATGTTAAATATGAAAGGTGGAACGATGTGATTGGGGGGAGGGGGTGAAGAATCGCTCGCGAATGAAGAAGAAGCGAGAAGGAGGAATGTTAACGCCACGCGCGTCAGAGACGATTATCCGCTCTGGTGCGATCTGTGAATGAATCTCTATCCGTCAACAGTATTGATATAATTAATAGAGTAAATGAATATATATATAAAATATATTGTAAGAACTATATATATATCGTAAGTACGTATTTGTGCAAACGTCAGTGTGCAAGTTAGGCAGAATGCGTGGTGTGATAGTAGTTCGGGGTATATGGGAGAGAGAAAGAGAAAATGAATGTGAGAGGGTGTGAGTGAGGTAAACAGAGAAGCAGAGAAAGAGTGAGGAAGACGAAGCGTTAGAGTCACCTTCGACTCGAAGATTTTTAAGCGCGGGGACCGACCGAACGCCAATGCATAGCCTCGTTGATTGTCCCGAGGGCTCGTTGTAGAATTTTATCCTTTATTATTATTATATAAAATAATAATTATTTGACGAACCACGGAAAGCGTAAGAATATTTTGCACACTAAATATGTAAGAGAGAGACTTCGTTCCAAAGGTTCAACACGGTTGGTATATGTAACATAAGTATAAAGCTTTCTCAAAACCGAGACGAGACACGGAATCAACCCCCCACGGTGCAGGAAAAAAGAAAATTGTAAAAGCGTTTTTAACATTCGTTGTAAACAAGCCTCGTGTTTTATGTTTAGAATACATTGCGGTACGACACGTAGCACAGCACGTACCCACGTCTTATGAATTATATGTCGAATTCTAACTTTATATATCTAGGTGAATACTTTACGTTCACTAATCTGATTGTGCTTTGATTTTTAAACGAGACTCTTTTTAACAGCAACATTAGGACCTTATCATTTTATTCGATACATAAGTAATGCGCGTGGTGATTCGATACTTTATACAATGTATGTCAGATGACGGCACATAACGCACACAACACGTACAATATGTACACGTAAATCCGAACTAAGTTCCTTGCGTGTTACGTTTTAAACATCATGTATATGTTCCTCATTTTGTTTATATACGTCGCATATGTTCCTATTTTTATATTGCTCTTTGTGATTCGTTATGTTCCCTTCTTTTAGCATTCAGATGATTTTTATAAGATTTTTTAACGACAAACTTTATTTAAATCATCGATATATTACTTGTCGATCAATGTGCCCTTCGGGTCTTCGAATCATTTGTCTTTGTGCGGTGTCATTACAAATGATTCGTTCCAATTTTGAATTGAAGAGAAATCTTATAGCTTTAAAGTGTAATTCGTATGCAGATCCTGTATTCTGATATACATATTGTATATTTCTGATACATTATATATTCGATGGAAACAGTATTTGTTTTGACGAGATTCGAAGTTACACATGCGTCGAAATGTAAGAAAGGGGAACATCGTTTTAGTTGGTAATTACTATACATCACACAAACTGCGATTTGTCGGTGTTTTCCCGCGTGACTCTTTCGCGTCACGCGCTTGAGCACGACGTAGGTACGAGCTCTGCTTCGATTTCGGAATACAAGCTCTTCGCACACAACATACACACAAGACACAAACACACAAGTAATTTGCGTGTCATGAATCGCTCCGTTCTCTCAAACACTCCGTCGATGTAGATCGCGAAGCGCACTCGCGGATTATCGCGCGAGCCGCTTCCATATCATTGTCATTAACGGGTCTGCGCCGTCGTAGTCTGAAAGGACGTTTCTAGCTTTCAGTTCCCTCCGCTCCACGAAGCTCAAATCAGAATTACGTTTCGTTCTGTTTACTATTTGTTTGATGGTAGTCCAAAGAATAGAGAAACAAGCGGCGTTTTGCGGCTGCGAAATTCTAATTGAACTATTCTCGAGAGAGCCTACGAGCGGATGGATAAAAGTTTGTTCGTCGGATTTTATCAAAAGAACAGTAAGAGGAAAAAGACGGCAGCATATAAACGCCGGCGTTTTGTCACGTCCGTAAACTCTGCGTCTTCCCAAGGCGAGAGCATCTTCCGCATCTTTGTCGTGTCGATATCGCGCGGCAATACATTTTAAAATATGTACAAAGATCATTGTCTCACATAGTACACACAATACGCGACACAATAGCATCATTCGTGTAATCTTTAACTCCTCCGCTTTTCGAGAGAAAAATGCCATCGCTTTCTCGTTATTTTCTCGGTTTTTAATGCAAAGGTATTGCCGCACATTGATCTTGTATCCTTTTTTTTTGTTTTATTACAAAGTAGGCTACACATACGTATGGTTTACATATAGAATGTACCGAGAACGGGAGACGAGTCGCTTGTAATTGTAAATCTTAAAAGAAGAAAAGAGGGGACGCGTACGCGCGCGCGCCGATGTGCACGCATTTGTACGTGCATTTACACATACACATTCACATACACGTATACCCCGAAATCACACGTAAATCACGAATTAGTTAGATAAGCCACGCGTGAAGCCAGTACAGTCCCACGGCGTGAGAGTGTGCGAAAGTAGGAGGAAGGTGTACTTCGTGAAATACACTTGAACGTGTAGAGAGAGAATGAGAGAAAGCTAAGCGATGTCGTGGAGAAAGAGAGCGAGATAGAAAAGAGAGAAAGAGGAGAGCGCATGTGTGTTAGGGAAGCGCATATGTATGCATGTCAGTGCGTGCACGTGTGTGTGTGTGTGTATGTGCAGGGAGAGCATGGGAGAGAATGCGAGTGATTTCGACACGAGCATGCAGTGGGTTTTAGCATAAATGATCTATTGACAAATGTTGTATATTATTACGAATTATAATGACACTATTATAATTAATTAATTAATTAATTAATTAATTATTATACCCTAATAATGTGAATTGAATTTAAACGACAAAAAATACACGAAATGATAAGTAATAGGCGAACAAATTTTTAATTGTTAGCGAAGCACACACGAAAAGCCGGAATTATAACGCCCCACGGGCCTAGGGCCGAAAACACGAAAGTAGCAGGCCGATCCGCGCGACGGAGTCGAAAGTACCGAGCGTAAAAGCACCGAACGTGTAACGTTGCGGCAAAGTCGCGCGGAGAGGCGGCGAACGTATGGAAACTTAAAATCCTTGCCGGGAGAAAGTGCATCGCCCAGCCTCGAGCGGCACGACTCGCCCTCCGTATAAGGAAAGGACATATTCTCGACGATCCTCGTTCCAATCTGTAACGCGTTCGCGAGGCGTGATTAACGGCGCCTCGCCGCAAAGCGAGATCTTTGAAAACATTCCGCAGTGTCGAACTAGTCACATTCACAGGGAGAAGCAACAATCGTAAGGCGTGTACCGATGAACATTTACGGCCGGTTTTACCGACGATGATTGACTCTAATCGCGGATACCTTTATCGGTTCCTCGCCTCTTTCCACAGCTCGAAGCTTCGGAAAGGGATGAAGAGCCGCTTGAAGCAAATTAGCTAGCTGGCTCTGGTGAGATTGGTCCTCGGACATTGGAACAGACTGGATAAAGGTTTAGCAAATATCATTAGATATTCTCGTTTATGCGTTAGATATTTTATTACTTTTTTTCCTGCAAAAGTCATCACCCGCGAAAATCGTCTCTCTTTGGAGTATGCATTTCGGTTGTTAGATAAATCTCGATTGCTCCGTTCGAATAGTCGGTGATGCATTTCGACAATAGTCGAAATGCGAGACGAGGTATATAATCACGCGCATCCAAACTCGGCCGCATCTTCACCGAAAGCTATTTTAGCTTCGAACAAAAGTCCTGCGAGAGAGTCGTGATCGTTCGTCGCCGTATGTAATCAGAAGACTCATCACGAGTCTTTTGCATTATGCGCAATAAGAGACGAGTGGATCGCAGGTTCGCGGTGAAAGTAACCGTGACAAGTATCATGAATTCATGAGTGACAGTCGATCGCAAACTGATGACCCGGGGTCGCGTATTAATCTGCGGAGGATGCGGTTTTTAGCTTCGGGCGCGTTTCACTTTTCTTATCTTTTCTTCTCCCATGCATTTTTCTACGGACACGCATCTGCGAGGTGTGGAAACGCGCGCAATTTCTCGTACGAAGGGAAACATATATTTTGAACGATGTAGTAATACGAGTCCCTCACGCTGACGACCAGAATGACATTTAAACGCTTGCCTTTGAAGTCGCGCTTTGCGTTTCCGCACGAAATGCGCAGCTGGCCTTGTTGTAAAGGTCTACGAGAGCGAAAGATATGCGTAATGTACTTCGAAAAGTATCACTAATACGCGAATCACTCTTAATTGTTTAACGCAAATTCGTATTAATTACGGTCTTTGTTGCGCGATCCTCAGTACTCGCGAGCAATCAAAGGGCTGTTGCAATTTCTCGTTAATGAGTCATTCTATTTTCATCTAATTCGGCTGAAATTACCTTTGATTCGCACATTGCGCAATGTAACGCAGCTTCAAGGCATGAATGCAGCACTTTTCACGTATTTCCCGATTAGCATCTCCCTTTGGAAATGTTTATTCCACCACATTTGTATATATCTATTTATAATTATTAATTTATGATCTCAAGCACATATTTATCTTTTTCAGACAAACTCATTTAAGATTGTGGAGTAAATTAAATTTCCGTATTCTCTAATGTGTAATATTGTGTATTCAACGGAAACCATGAGCTTCTTTTCAGGCTAAATCAAGTTAAGTTAAATTAAAGCCAATATACACTTAAAGTCGATTTTAATTTCGAAGTAAATTTAATAATCGGTGTATTAAAAAAATAATTAAATATTTATCATTATCTTGAATCTTTATTTTACCTAATAACCGAAAGCTTCTATTTCGCGGGATATCGCGTAATTACACGCGGCGGGGAAATTGAATGTATTCACGTCGGATTCTCGTGGTAAGCTGCATCATTAAACGCACTAAAACGATAACGTTCAATTAAACCTTTTGCGATCGTGCATAACGCGCCGCGCGATTCACGAAGCCATCGGCTGATAAACAGCCAGCGCTCGATTAGCTTAATTTCTATTCATCAACAAGATTTAGCACGAATGACATTTGCCGGTCGTATTACCGCGATGTCGTTGTAATTCACGATTAATATTTGATAGACTGTTAATAAACGAAACTGTTCATCTAGCGTTTGTGAGTGTGCCGCGAGTACCGTGTTCATTTAATTGACCCATTCACTACATCCGCATTGACGTTTGATTAATGATACACGATCTATGGTGGAACAATTGGTATTTTGTCAGAAAATGAGGAATTGTAAAGACGAACTGCAGAGCTATTTTTGTCGAGTCTAAAGATTCCAACGAGTTGTTTCCTTTTTCGCGCCATAAACAGGATTGTCATCTTTAAACGAATCGAAAATATAATTCGGCTAATTCCGACAGAAATGCCGTCCGAAAACGTGATTGACTGTTTTACATGCGCGTGAATTTCGCGTACGAGAATCTTTATCGCACGACGCGACGGTTCGGTTTCTGAGTCGAAAAGATCTCGAGTACATTTTGACTCAGGGAGAAGAGTGTGTCGTATTCAAAAGCATTACTTGCGAGCTTTGGACTGAGCAGCCGAATGCTTGCGAGCTACCGCGATCATTACTGACCATTTCCTTTTCGCCAGGTCGATTATCGCAAATCTCCGAGTCGTAGGACTGATCTTCGCAGAGTTTCTCATTTCAGCGTTTTAGTGGTCGAGCAGCTCCGCTCAAAATATTTAGACTTTTCAATATTCAAATAATTCAAATAATTCGAATTTAAATTCAAATACCGGAGACTTCTCGGCAATCCGCTTTCAATTTTTCACACAGCAAGAGCAATTAGAATACGAGAATGGAGAAAACTCGATACTTGGACGCGCTTTATCTTGTCAAATGAATCCCCGCAGAAATTTCTAATCGTTTGTACAAGTCGGCCGCATATGTACATTTGGAAAGCTTGTCTCTGGATCGTCAACGCCGGGTGTGATTTGTATCGCTCCGAACGGAGGCAGTTCAGCTATCATCGCAGATGCGCGATCTGCGCACAATTTAGAAAACTCTCCACGAAATAAATTGCATATCACACTCACCGACCGTGTCTCAGGAGAAGCAGATTAGCGTTACGGAGGTGTCGTGTATCGCGCCGCGATCCTAGACCGATTAGCGTCTCATCCTGTTGTCCACCCCGATACTGTTTACCTAAGGGATAATATTCCAAATAATTGTTGACAGATGATCAATCGTATGTATAATGGTAAAGTGAAAGAGAGAGAACAAAAAAAAAAGAAGACGTGCCACTCGTCGCTGAGTACAACGTACACGCGCGAAGGCAACCTACCGTTATTGTTCCAAGTTCAGAGGACCTTTTCTCGTTTGCGTAATCGCACCTTGGCATTCCTCGAGATTTTGCCTCGTCCTTGCAGATCCCAGCACACGTTCGGCTGCAAGCACAATTTGAATCGTTTAATCGTTTAATCGCGACAAGAAGAACGCGATTTTGCCGCAAAATCAGGCACTTTCGAACAACTTTACTTATATTTTCATCAAATAATTATTATATTCCAATTATATTTTACATTAGCGTTAAAATTGTAATCGAGGAAGAGAGAGTATTGCTCGCGCCGAGGCCGCTTCGAGAACGTCGGTACAGTCGAGGCTAACTTTCGTAACTATTAGTTTAGATAGAAAATTCTTCTTCTATTTAACATCAGAAAGCTGGAGCCGAGTCGGAATTAATTAATGCACGGCGGTCGGTGCATCTCCGCGCAATTTCCACGGGCCCGGCCGCACGAAAGTCGCGTGAAGGACGCCTCGGCCTCTCTCGGATGTTCCTCAGACGTCTTTTAAACGCCGCGTTTTCGTTTTTCCCCGAGAGAACGTCTAGCGAGCGAGAGACGAGGGAGGGGGGCTGATGTTCCGTGTAAACGTAATATCCCTTGCGGCAGGAACGCGCGTTTGCCGGGTTTCGGCCGGCTGTATCCCGTATAAAATTCCCTCTGTAAATACCGTCCTCTGAATTTGGCACGGAGGCCTCCCGGTGGCCTCTCTCCGTGGTCTCGGTGCGGAGAAACGCAGTCCGGAGAGATTGGGCGGGTGGTCGTCGATCGGATCGTCAACCGCGCCGGGCCAGTCTTGAGCGATGATCGCGCACCGACATTGCGTGTAAAATATTAGCGAATTAGGGACGATTTAATTGCGATTTCAAGGATATCACAAAACCTTACCTACCCTGTACTCTAGTGGACATGGGCCAAAAACTCGGTATATTATATTAATATACGTTCAAGGTTGGCCCATCGCCATGACCAATGAAGTAGTGAAGGAGAGGAAGCGGGGGCAGAAGGGGGGGGTAAAAGGGGGGAAGGAAGGGAGGAAGGATAGGAGCAAAGAGCGAATTGTCATCCAATCACATTTTTACGCACTCCAAAATTTTTATCCTCGTCATTTGTATCATAGCAGCCGTGTGTTTAAAGACGACTCCACATTATGTGTATGTAATCAAAATTGTAACTGATAAAACGTTAATAAAAAAACGATATCCGAAATCTCCCTCCGGCTGTGAACATCTTCCACTACCGCCCGCACGGCACTTCCGTTTGATTTATTATTATATATATATTATCTATATATAACGCTATTATAATAAGTAAATCTATAAAATAAATAATATAGAATGTAAATTCTTAGCCTGAAACCAAATGGCGAATCGATGATCAAAAATTGTCTAACGGCGTCGCCGAGCTCTCACTTGAGGAATTCTAGCCGCGGCCACGTCGATTGAATTACGTCAAAGAAATCACGTTATTATTACCTCTTTACGTTTAAACAAGCTGATCTCTCTCTTGCGCGCATCGCCACTCGATGTCAAACCATTCAAACTAATAATTGACGACACCGCGCGCGGAACGTGATTTTCCACGAGCGGGAAGCCGGATGTGCCGGCGCCAGGAAGTATATATCTTACTCCCTGGCCGGCGCCAACCTCCGCGGCGTTCATCCTCGAAGATTTGAAATCCGCGAGTCGATTGGCGGTTTCTCCGCGCCGGCGCGACGCTCCGATCTCGCCGGCAGGCGGCGCGGCAGTCGCGGCACATCAGGCACATGTCCGCTTGCGGCGCTCGCGCGACTGCTCCGCTCCCGGCTCCGCGGCGCATCTCTGCTCCGCGCCACTCCGCTCCGCGGCTCCGGAATCCGGAACACCACAACGGGCACAACGTCCTTGTCCTGCCGCCGATCGATGGTTATGTACGCGCGGTTATGTGTCGCGGACGGTGATGAGTACAAATTTCCTCCTATAATTATTTCCCCGACTTTCCTGATCGAGTACGCGAGTACCTTGAAATAAAAAAAATAAAAAAAAAAAACACTTCTCGCACGCGTGATCAGTTTTATCGGCGGCGAGAACGAAGGGAAAGAAAAAACCCGAGACACCGGCGCACGAGGTGTTACGCAGTATCCGCCACGAGTTTGCGGTTATCTCGTCTCGGGAGGTCCGACGATCGTAAATGAGACCGAGCAGCTTGATCGCGCTCCGTGCGGGGGATTCGTAACGTAGCGGGGTATCGGGAGCGAACGATGTACACGTGGAAGCTGACCGGTCACGTTCTGAGAAGGTTCAACGCCGGTTACGGCGACGGTAACGGTAGGTTAGCGCTCGTCCTGCAGCACTGCGGCCCGAGGGCGCAAGGTCGCGGCAGACTTGGCAGCTACCGCAGGAGGATAAGCTCGTGGGTCCGGGAGCAGGGCACGCAGGTGGCCCAGGCCTGCAAGAGGCAGTTCGAGTTCGTGGCGGCCCAGAGGATCAGGAGGTGCATCCAGATATTCCACCTGTACACGAGGATATGGGACGAGATAGCGCTGAGGGAGTTCATGCGCCAGTGGAGGCTCAGACTCGCCAAGAACGCCAGGAATTTCCTGATAAGCGCGGCCGGCGTGAGCGTGTACAACTGGGACCGCGACAGGATAAGCGACGAAGAGATTAATAGGTAGTTGGGAGAGATGTTTATAGGAACAAGATACATGTGCAGTGTGTTTCCAGGATAATTCTTTTTGACTCTTTGCATTGCAGGTATAATCGTGAGATTGAGGGAATTTACAGATTGCGAGACTCCACGGTGGTCTGCGCAAAGTGTCATTTGCGAATTATTATCGACACTGTACAGCCTAATGTAAAATACTGTAAATGTAAATGTGTAGTTCAGCCTCACGCTGCTTCTCACGAAGATCGTAGGTGTTTCTTCTATTAACTATTCAATATCTTGTTATTTGAAATATCTTATTACGATTATTTGTATATGTGCTTTTATATTATACATTGTTTAATATGTGAATGTGAAGTTTACATATAATATTCAAAATGTGTGCAGGAGACGGCTGGCAACCTTTTATCGAGCGTCAGGATATGTTGATATGGAGGAAAATAGAGCCTGGTTCGGGTGGATTATTTGCCTACAAAGTGTACGGTTCGTTCTCGGATGTTACTGCCGAAGATTTTATGCAAGTACAAATCGATGTAGATTATAGAAAGCAATGGGATCCCACTGCTCAGGAGCTGCAGATTATTGAGACTGATCCGAAGTGCGAATCGTCTGTTAATCATAGCACTGATGTTATTCATTGGGAAATGATCTGGCCTGTAGGTGTAACATAGTATGCTATTTTTGGATAAATCTCACTTAATGATTCGTTAATTTGCATTTGTGCAGAAATTATTTTCTAATAGAGATTATGTATATCAACGGCGATGGGTCATGGATAGGGAGAAGGGACTTGTAGTCATTGTCAGTCGAGTGACGGAACATCCCGATATACCAGAAAGAAGAGGAATTTGCAGGTATATAAAGTCAAGAGTTCATATAGAAATATATATGTACAAAATATCATGAAGTGTGTGTGTGTCAGTTGATCAGTTCTCTTTAATATCTATTATATTTTGTTAACGAAACAATTCACTTTGATAATTAGTTTAATAACTAAGTATTTAAATTACCAGAATTAAAAATAGCAAAATAAGAGAAAAATATTCTTTTTTTTTAATAAATGAATAATAAAGAATTTACTGTCTGTGTATAACAGAGTCAGAACATATTGGTCGTACATGGTGATAAAACCTTACACGGAATTCCACGAGCCAGGCATTGAATTTGGACTTACTTACTTTGATGATCCTGGCGTCGCTGTACCATCCGCTGTCACTGCATGGGTAGCACTGAGAGGTTTGTCGTAATTATAAAATAAATTATATAATACCTTTTTCAATGCATTTGTAATAATAATAATTGTAATATTTATCTTTAGGTTTACCAGATTTTCTAGTTCGTATGAGACAAGCCTCAAAAGATTACCAAAAATATAAACTAATGAAAAAGAATGCGCCTGACAGTAATCGTCTTACTTTATCTGAAGAGGGCATTTCCAAAGAGCAAATCAAAGTCAATGTAGAAGATAAGTTAAAGAATGATGAAACATCGAGAGATTATAAAGATCAACAAGACGATTCTAACGATACTAACGATACTAACAAGTTAGATGTGACGCATGGTGTACAGCAAGAAAGTGACTTGACGGAAAGTAAAAATAAGGATATCCCTACTGCACCTAAAGAAGAGCAAGGTTTATTACATTATTTCTATCTTACGAAATTATTTACATTTTTTGATTTTTGACAAATGGATTTAATGCAGTAACTTTTGACTAGTAGATGTTTTAACGTGATTTCGCATGGAGGAAACAATAATCTGCCGATAAAGCTATAGAACAGATTCGTGGATGATAACATTGTGGAACAACTGACATTTTATTAACGTATATTGGACAAATAATACTACTGGTTTCATAGATAATAAGAAGGAATTGTGAATTTGATATGATCAACTGTTCACCGTCCCTTTTTAAAAAAGTATGATTTCTATTTTTTATAAGAAGGAACAAAAATATATTAATCAAGAAGTGAGACTGATTAGGTATGTCATCGCCTTTAACCATTTGTTCATCGAAAATTTGCATTATATGTAAGATAATGAACAAAAGCAAGCAAAGTCTGACTTTTAGGTTGTGGAAACGTAATATGTTGAGCTGTTTAAATTTGATAATTTATACAGTATAAAAATATCTGTACAAAGCAAATTGAATTCATCGTATCTCTAAATATAGTATGAGACACATAAGATATATTTATGTATTATTTAATTCATTTGTGTATATTTGTCACAAATGTGAATTTACAACAAAAACTTCAATTCTTTTGATGCTATACTTTTCTTAAATTTGTATTAATATTAACCTTTTCAGAGTAATATATAAATACGCTTATCCTTTAAAAGTTAATTAGTAAAAATTTTTCCATTAAATTCCCGATTTTATTAAGAAACATTAACAATTTTTTAAAATATGTTATACATATGTATTATATAAATATATCTTAAGTATTTCGTATTGTATATAAAACACATATATGTATATGCATGATGTAAATACATATAACTATATATATATATAAATATATATATGCATACATATATAATATATATTTATATATTACATATATGAAAATAGTCACGCTTTTCAAATTGTATAAGGAAATGATCATAGAGAATATATGTAAGTGTAATAAATTTCATTAGAGGAATAATGTTATGTAAATAAACTATGTGTCAATCACAGGATGTTAATAGTAAATAATAATGTTGTTTATATCTATTTCTCGTAAATAGAAAATGTTATTAAAATATCATTTTTTAATTACTTGTGTCAATGTATAATTTCAAAAGGCATTACAGAAAGCCATACTAAAAATAAATTTATTGAGGAATAATCAAAGCCGTTTATACATATTTTTATATTATATTATTTTACGCATATTACATATATTTTAAGTATTTTACGTATATTTACTTTTTATGTCTTCTCTGTAACATCTTCATCTACTATTGCGCCGGATATAAAAGTATCACCTTCTACGTCTAACTTGAATGCAATTTCTTCCGGTAAACTTTTTGGCATAGATGCAAAACCCGCGCAGTCTGCATCGTGACATTTCTGATATATCTTTTTTGTATTTAAATCCACAATCCAATATACGTTGTTGCTTTTATGATACCTACCAATGTTTTCACAGTATCTGTAAAAAATAATGTCAAAGTATTATATACGCTATCTTTAACATAGCCGGACCGATGTATATAGAAAAATAAAAATTGATAATTGTTAGATTATCGAATAGTGTTACCTGTTGCCATAAATTTCGTATCTCAGCGTTTTGTTTTTATCAAAATATCTGGCGCTACGTATCTTGCCAGGCTCAATGAGACTGCTAATGTACCTATCTATTTCAGGGTATGGTGAAGTCTGGTCATCATTCTCGTGACTGGGTTGTCTCGGTACTTTTGAGTAAAGCTGAGCTTTTACGTCGCTTCGATTCGAAAACTCGAGCATAATTAAATTCTGCTTGTTTGGAAAGTATGATATCAGAGAATCCAAAAAGATCCCTAGCTCCTTCTCCTTGCACTTATTCACTGGGTTATGCACGCAATCTGCAGAGACTGTTAGATACGATTGCTTTCCCCATTTGGTGGACAGGTACACTCTAAAATGTCTATTCTTGGTATAGACACCAGTGTCAACGAACAATTTTTCGCCGTGCTGTGTCATCACAAGCATTTCCTTCAAGTCCGCTTTGTTAAAATGATTCAAAATTCCATGTGACGGATTATCCGACTTCAAGTAGAACAGGATATCATTACATATAGTTTTGACGAGTTTTCCAACATGCAGGTTGTCTTTAAAAGCCACATCCTTCAGAGTAAAAATTACGTGTCTGCTGAATTTCTTATTGGATGTAGAATCCAGTATTAAAAAGTTACTTCTGTCGCATAACAGATGATAGTGATTAAGTAAGTACGCTCGTATGATATCTATCAGCGTCCTGGTTATACGCGACCCGTCGCAAAGGGGATTTAGGTCGATTGGGTATTCCAAGTCCAGATATAGCCAACACGGTGAATCCTTTGGTATTACCTGTTGGATTTATAATTTTCTATAAGTAAATATAGCACATGTTATTATATTTAAATGTGATTAACAGTATTTTAAAACGTGATTGTACATTAAATAATTTCAACTTTGAGTTATAAAAAAATGTCTATGTATTTAGAATATACTCTTAAACTTTGTGTTCCTTTTCTGTGTGTACAAGGTGGAATTGTAGGCGAGCATGCTCACCTCGTACGAGCATCTCTCTTCTGGCGGCTTGGTCTTGTAATACCACCAATAGACCTCCGGATGCGCGACGACGAATCTGCGACTGCCGTCGCTGGGCTGCTGGTACGCGAAGGTGCATAGCGTGTCCGTTTTGGTACTGCGTTCGACAGACGCGACCAGCGCGTCAGCTTGTTTGTAAAACTCCTGCCAGTACTGAGTCGGGCCCAGTATGTGCGACGGCATTACCCGGTACATTTTCACCCAGTTGGACCTGGGTGGTGATGGCTTCCTTTGTTTCCTATCGCCGTAAAACTTCCTCGTGCAAATTGGATCCATCCTGATCGATCGAATTGATTTCACGGTTGCAAACGGTCAGTTTGTGCGATCACTGTCGGTCTATCGCGATTTCAGGTAATTCAGATCGGCGACGTAAACACACCGTATCTGGAACAGCTGATCTAAACTAGCGTTTCCCGCCAATGTTGTGTTGACTGAATGGCTGATCAGGCTGATGGCCTGATGGTCGCTCACGATGCGAAGAAAGATGACGATCAAGTTCTGCGCATGATGGCGGCAATTATGTACATACAAGAGAAATGTTATGATTTATAAAGGCACAGAAAAGATATATTATGTCCTCGATTTAGACTCCCACGCCACAATTACATTCCGCTCGCTTGTTTGACATATTAACAATAATAACAATACAATTACCAATGAGAGCTTACCAGTAAAAAACACAAGTCGACGCAAACTATGGCTGCGGTCCACTTGACGCTACAAATGGTTTGGAGCATTCTTATCCTCCTTCTTTCTTCATTGAAAGAAAAGGGAAGAGGAATGGTTCGAAGCATTTGTAGCGTCAAGTGGACCGCAGCCTATCTTTCTTTTTTGGCAATGAGTAACAAAGATAAAACGACACTTGTGTCGACTTGTGTCTTGCTGGAAAGTTCTTTAAATCGAAGAATGAGGAGAAAGGAAATAGACCGCAATTTGACTTTATTTATCAAAATTAATAAACCGCGTTAATAAATGTTCTATTGGATTGATTCGTAATAAGTTCCATTTTTTAAATCGAGTTTCTTTAAAAACGGTTTCTAAACAATGACCTGCGGCGTGTTAATAACATTTTTGTTATTTTTAACTACCGTGTGTGTCGAAATTTATTATTTTAACACAAAACAATATTATTTTAACTCTTGTTTTAGTTAAATTAACGACATATTGAGTAGGCGCAATGATGACTTATAAGAAATTATTAAAAACGACTTAAATTGAATATAACTTCACCCTACGAATTTCACAGTATAGATTGTCGTCACCTGCAGCGGAACTTATTTACGAATCAACCTAATAGAGTCGGCTAAATAAACCGCAACGAATTCTGTGCCAAATAAGAAACTAGATCACGCATCGATCATTTCATCATCGCGTCTGTTTACGGGAAAACCGGTCATATGTGAAAGTCAGCCTGTAGTCGACTATTCAAGCGGATTCGTTCAACGATGTTGTGGAGCGATCGACGTATTTTTCGATTATCCATTGTATGCAAATTCTTTTGAGTTACAACTGGAAATTAGGCGATACGCGTCTATTCTCTTTTACATCAAGTTACGCTTTCAGCTAACTCGTTTTCTCAGTCTTTTGTGCTCGCTGTTCAATCGTTCTCGCTGCACGCACGCGACTTTCTTTCCTGTGTACGTGCCGGATTAACGATATTCATACGCAGATGAAGAACGTGCAAACGGGAGAACAAGAATACTCGTGTCGATTTCGTAAAGAGGACTGATCGAGAGATCACTTTCGTTAAGCCGCCTGCTTAACCGCGCGAGAAACGATGCCTTACGTGTAGATTAAAAAGTGAAGGTGTTTTCGTCCTGTTAACAAAAGTTCGCTTTATTCATATCTAATACAAAAAAAATGTCTGTTCGCTATTAATCTGCAAAATACGAGTATTGTACTTTAAGAAATGTGTTCCGTGTCAAGAGGTGTCTTGTGTGAAGGATTCTGTTGAAGGTTTCATGGATAGAGTGAGCAGAATACGCAGTGTATACAATGAGGTATATAAATATAAAAATATTATATACTATAAATATTAAGTATATACACATCTACGTAGATAATCCTGCGCATGTATCAGAGGGAATACGATATACTGTGTCGAGGGGACTTGCGCTGAACCGCGAGAGATCTACAGTTATCGGAATCGTTTACCAGGAATAGCTAGTGCCGAAGCCGCTGAAGGCGGCGTGCACCACAGGTGCAGCTGTCTCGTACGAGTAAGGGGCGGCATAGGTCTTGGCGATTAGCGGCGCGGCATGAGCACCGTAGCCGCTGTACGCGTAAGCGGGCTTTGCCAAAAGCGGGGCGGCAATCGGCGCGGCATAGGTCTTGGACAGAAGCGGAGCGGCATAAGCGGCCTTGGTGATCAGGGGGGCTGCTGGCGCGGCATAGGTGTACGCGGCGGTCTTAGCGATGAGCGGGGCCGGGGCGGCGTAGGTCTTGGCCAGGAGCGGGCTGGCGTAACTGTAGGCAGCGGGTGCGGCATATGCCGTCTTCGCGGCCAAGAGAGCCGGTGCGGCCGCGGCGGCATATCCATAAGCGGGCGCGGCAGCGTATCCATAAGCGGGTGCGGCAGCGTATCCGTAAGCGGGCGCGGCAGCGTATCCGTAAGCGGGCGCGGCAGCGTATCCGTAAGCGGGCGCGGCGTATGCGGCTTTAGCGAGCACCGGGGCAGGGTGAGCGGCGTATGTCGCCAAGGCTGGCGAGGCGTAAGCGGCTTTGGCGATCAGGGGCGCGGGTTGTGCGGCGATCAGGGGCTTGGCCAAGGCCGGCGCGGCGTATCCGTAGCCGTAGCCGATGGCGTGCTGCTCCAGCAGGGCGTCGTTGCTCACGTGGCTGTTGCTCACGCGTACCGACGAGTGCGCGGAGTCCTCGGCGCGGCTGTACGAGGACACGACATTCTGGCCGGCGTAACCCTTCTGCGTGGATTCCTGGCTGTAGCCGATGCTGTTGTGGTCGGCGGATAACGTGCCGATGTCGTAGGCCGCCGGTCCGCCGGCACTCGCTATCGCAACGAAGGCTGCGAGCACTATGAACTGCAGAGAAATGAATTGGTCTCATCAATGATGTATAGATATTTTTGCACTATTTTTTACAGGTTTAACTTTTAAGGATCTTCGATTGGAAAATAAGATCAGATTTATCTCCTTAAACTACTTATTTATTTCATTTTACTATAATATGGATTATAAGAATCCAGAATGTACGAAATAGATGCTTTGATTATCCGTAATTGGAAATCTATTAACTGTCAAGTTCTTTCGCAGTTCTCCTCCTCCTTCTGTATGTTTTACGCGAGATGGATCTCGTTTCTTAAGATTTTACACTATGTTACTTGGTATAAAATATCGAAATAATTTCCCGACAGAATTGACGTGCTTACCTTGAATGCCATTTTGCTCGTCTGAGGTGGAACAACTACTGGGTTTCTGCCGAAATGGTAGCTGTCGGCCACTATTTATACGCGGGTGAAGTTGTAGGGGGTTCGATCGAATTTTGGGTACCTTGTTCGAGGTGATTGGGCATGGTCGATGGGAGAGGGAGATGTATATGGGACTTCTTTGTGGGAAATCATCAAGAAAGGAACATACGAAAGGAGGCGTAAAGGAGAGGTAGGACAGCCGCTCGAGGGGGAACACGGACGAATTGCACGGGCGTGGCTCCCCACGAAATTCAGATCGCGGATCTGGCATTGTACGGTTTATTAGAGAACGTCGAGGGCACAACGCACTTATCCTTGATAATTACTCCTCACTCTTGATATCCTGGCGATACGACGCATCCGACAAATATGCACAATATTTACAAATAAGGTGAATTTGATAATATCGTGATGCGCTCTTGTATGTACTTTCGATTTCATCGATTATCCTGTTACTCTCGTTTCTTCGCGTGTCGTTTCTCTAAATAAACATTTAGCTGTAACAATAAAAATGAAATATTTCAATATCTCTCTTGCACTGTTAAGTTCGGAGTGTTAAATTGGACTCAATTTGAATCATTTTTAACCATTTCTATAAGTCGTCACTGCTCTTACTCAATATCACTCAATATGTCGTTAATTTTACTGAAACAATGTTAATTGAACTAGACCAAGGGAGTTAAAGTAATAGTTTTTTGTGTCAAAGTAATAAAATTCGACATGGTAGTCAAAAATAACGATTTAACTCAAGGTTTTGGTTTAAATTTTATCCTTTAATATTTAATAATGTGCGTAAAAAAGGTACAAATACTCACGAAATTCTTTTTTCGATGCGAGCGTCATAATTAGGCAACTGTTCTTCTTACAAGCCTTATGTCCATTTCTACCAATGCAGATTAACTAGTTCTGCAAATTAAAAAGATATAAAGTAAGTTAAATCCTCTTACAAGCCTTATGTCCATTTCTATCAATGCTGATTAACTAGTTCTAAGAATTTAGAAAAAGATTTAAAGTTAATCTGAATTAGTAGAAATGGACATTACTCTCATGTTTTAATTACACACGAATACGCAATGACAGTGTACGTGAGATTAATCTAATTCACTTGGAAAGAAGGAAACCCGGCGGTGCGATTCTCGCATATAACTTTGCAAGTCTCTCCTTACGTAATATATGATACATTTATATAAACTCACCATATGATATTGTAAAACTCGCCAAGGACGCACTTTCTCCAAATTCCCGTATCGGCACAAGCGGTGTCATATGTGTAACAGTGGAAATACGTAACGCTTTTTAGGTGCTCTAGTTATTAGATATGAAATGGGCGTGATCGCCTGTGGACAGTTTCGTCAAGCCTTGAGGACTAAATTCCATTTTTATTTCTAACTCGAATTAAATGGTGTACTCAATCTGGAAAAAAAACAACGATTGGTTTCAAATTAAAATAAAAACAGTGAGCATCGTGTTTATCAATTCGCTCTTTGTCTCGCGAATTTTACGAGTAAGATCGTTATATCACAATGAAAACGTATAATGCGATTAATCTTAAGCTAGAAATGAACAAGTGGAAAATTTCGAATAAATTTGCGGGAGAACTTAATCTCTCTTCTCCGTAAATACACAGTAATATCAAATACAGAGTAATATCAACGCGATTATATCAGAGAACAGATTAAAACCAATAAATGATAAATGCAGCGATAAGAGATACGAGAGAAAATGAATAATCATGATATCGGCTCTCCTCGACGTTCCACTTATAAATTACGCTTAATGGATTTTTAATATGATCTCGGGAACACGCGTAACCTGCCAACGTTTGGGATAATACTTTATTACTTTCATACTCATAATTACTCTTTATAAATACTTGTGCAATCGCATTATATGAATCGCGATATTTCAATTAGGGTGTCTCATTCTCATTGTTTGTTTCAACATTTATGAGAACTGCAGAACCACGCTATATGTTTGATCAAAAGCTGTTCTTCCAACGAACTCGAAAATATCCCTGAAATCTTTGAAGGTTCAATTGAATCGCTCATAAATATAAAGCGAAAGACGCATAAAATTTGCGCGATGCAATATATTGAATATTTATATAACACCGTCAGCCCCTTTGTTGTGTAAAAGTTGGTCACCACTGTGCTTTAGGTGCGATGGTGCTAGGTCACGGACGGGCGTATCCCTTCACATAAGTCGTCGAATTTTTTCCTTTGTAAAAGTACACCGCACACGCGGAGGTTACGTATTTCCGTCCGTGACCCAGTATCACCCCCAGTAAATTCTTTATTTTCAGGAACGTCGACGACTCGTCAACTCTTACTCAAAATATCTCACATGCAAAAGCGGTTTAACGTTCTCTTTGTTATATATATGCTATTTGATACTTGAGTCCAACTTCGACATGAGGCATATGGAGTTCACACAAAATTTCCATTCGGCAAACAACATTATCTTGAAACGGCTCGCAAATGAGTTATCATTGACAGGATATCTCTTTTACGTGATTAATTTAAATTTATGAGATTATTATATGATGATATATTATAGAACGTGAACCCCGATTGATATAATTATCTTTGATACGAAATATACAGTTGTCCCTCCTAATTTTCTGCATGGCATGGTTATTTCACAGAAATTTTTTTGTTTAAATTGTCGCATAAAGTTTAAATTGTAGATCGTCACAGATATCGCTTTATGTAACATTAAATTTGCCTTCTGCGAGAAAGTAAAAAAAAAAAAAAAGAAAAAAAAATACGACGAGGATGGGATTCGAACCCACGCGTGCAGAGCACATTGGATTAGCAGTCCAACGCCTTAACCACTCGGCCACCTCGTCACGCACGTTGAAGGGTTCGAAATGTTCGTAGTAAGTCGTGGTGTCCCGACTTCTCGCGATATCATTACTCTGCAACTTTCATAAATTACACAAGACCCGAGTAATAAAAAAAAGCCTACTATCCGATATAAAATATGTATCAGCATTAGTCTGCAAGTGTACGGCGTGGCGTGTGCATTTCAAAATGCAGTTCCAAATAATCGGTGGTTCGATCGCGAACTGACGTGTGTGCTGTTATGAAAAGAAAGGGAAAAAAACAAATTTATATAACTGTATGAAAAGGTCGCTTTGCTTTTTATCGAGTTAAATAACTTGGCGTGATTTCGCGATGCAGTCTCATCGCAAAATCATATCATATCGCGCAATCGTGACATCATATAATACACGAATCTTTTATACAAAAACACGAGAGATCGACTAAAAGATATTTATTTATTAAAATCTAAATTCAGTTAAATTTACAAATTACGATACCGTTTACTTAAATGCATTTAAATGTATACGAAACAAAGTAACCGCGTGCACCAAGTGCTAAATATCAATTATCGAGCGATCGGCTACTCCTCTCACTAAGTCAACATTTAAACATGACGCGTATCGATAAGTCTTATTCCAGCGAATGTTGAAGCATCCGTGTAATGTGTATTTAGGCGTGTAACGTGTAGTAAACAATTTCACAACGATACGTGAAATTGTACGAAAAAAAATACAGTGACGTTAGAGTTCTCGTGTCGCAAATCCTACGATAAATCTCTATCGTTTATTTACCCTCGGGCGGGGTGATATGCAACAATACAAAAAAATATATCAGAGATTCTTTTATATCGTATATCGTGAATATGAAAGATATCGTGTTGAGAGAATCGCTGCTCCGCTCGATAATGACAGTCTTATCCCACGCGGACACCCTAATCCACGTTAATTACGTCGTTACGACGTAAACACGCGGACGATAATCGCGCCGATAGTGGCCGGTGCCTGCCGGTTCCTTCCGTCCATCTCCTTCGCGTCATTAATTATTCCTTGGACGGCGGATAGTTAGCGGCGACTGCAGTAGAAACTCGGTTGAGCAATCGCTCGCGTATCTCCGATCTCCGGCGTGTCGACAGCGGAGCTCTGGCGATCAGTGCGCGCCACGTGGACCCAAGATCCGGCACCGGAATCGATATGGGGGAGACCACCGTGGAGACCATGGTGGAGTTCACGCCGATTTACGACGAAGTCACCGCGCGAACGCTCGAGAGCGAATTCGCGAGGCTTGAAGGTGAGGAGGTACTCGGAGGAGTGAAGAGAGAAAGGTTCCGCCCCACGGAGAACCGCTTTTGCTAAGCTAATGGAACTTGGGTGGCTAGTTTATTTTAGATATCGACGCATTTCCATTAATGGCTTCTTGAAACCTTTGCGTTTACAATAGAAGTTATTCGCGTGACACACGGCGGCGTGCTCGAGTCCGTGACGCGCGATAGTGACGTGACAAGGACACGGGTGATGATTGTTACAACAGCTATTTACATAATGGGGCTCTATTATCGTACAGGACGTCTCAAAGCAGCCGGACGTTTTAACGAAAGGATCGAGGAAAATAATAAATTATTTATTAGTTACAAAATAATTTTTTATCGCACCATAATTATTTATAATTGTTTATCGCACCCTTCCGGCTTTTAACATTAAATAATTCCGTTACTTCAATCCAAATTATAGTCAAATAAAGAATACGTCATTATGATAAAGATAATTATTTATCTCTATTATAATGATATATTCAATCATAATAAAGATTTTATCATTTGTTTTCTCTCTTGTTGTCTCTTGTAGTCTCTCATTTTCAATCGTTAATTAATGCAAAAATTATAAACGCTTTAATGTTTTAATTAAGAAAGGTCAATTCCAAATTAGTCAGTCTTAATGAATATTCGAGGACTTTGAGACGTCTTGCATAAATATTTACAGACATAATATGGGCTTGACTAATATTTGGCAATCTGTTTTATTACGTTGAATATTAATCGAAAAAAATTGATACTGGATCATTGACTTATTATCATTATAAGATTAAGAATAAAATTTATTTGATAATAAAAAGATCTTTTTAACACTTGTTTTAATATTTTAAATTTAATTTAATGCAAGAGAACCGTACGGGAAATAAATGTTATAATATAAATGTAATAATATAAAAAGTATTGTTATCTCCACGTGTTTTCTTTCTTCAGGCGAGTGTTACGTGGATCATGCGGGCGCAACTCTGTATTCGGATGCACAGATCAGAAATGTGAGCGCCGATCTGCATAGCTCACTCTACGCTAATCCGCATTCTATCGGTATTGGGAGTTCGTCGACACAGGACGTTATCGAGCGTATGAGATACCGGTGAGAGATCATAACTACAGATAATTGGGCGCGTGCCAGATAATGAATTTATAGTTGATTAGAATTATCATTCTCTCAGCATTCTGAGCCACTTCAACACGAATCCCGATGAGTACAGCATTATCTTCACCTCGGGCGCTACGGGGAGTCTAAAGATAATCGCGGAAGGATTCCGTTTCAGGACGGATGAGGACAACGGGACAGCAACGTCCCCGCATTCGGGCAGTTTCGTTTACGTGCAGGACAATCACACGTCGGTCCTCGGGATGCGAGACGTGGTCGCTGCCAGAGGCGCCGAGGTCATTTGCTTGGGCCACGATCAGGCGTTTCAGATTCTCGGCCAGCGTTCAAGCCCTCGCGATCCCGACGAGCGACAGAGCAGCAATTCTCTCTTCGTGTATTCCGCGCAATGCAATTTTTCTGGATTAAAGTATCCCCTTAAATGGATCAGAGACGCGCATGCTGGAGCGCTTTCTACTTTTGCTGATAGAACGTCGACCAGATGGTACGTTCTGCTCGACGCGGCCAGCTTTGCGCCAACGAATAATTTGGATTTATCTACTTTCAAACCGGACTTCGTGTGTCTGTCTTTCTATAAAATGTTTGGCTATCCCACTGGTATCGGCGCCTTACTCGTTAAGAATGCCAGCTCGGACGTTCTAGAGAAGATCTATTACGGTGGCGGTACCGTGGACGTCACTCTCAGTTCTGAAAGATTTCACAGAAAACGTCAAGTATTGCATCAAAGGTAAAGTAAGAATCGCGTTTGACTTCGAAACAAATAAATTATCCTGAAACATCTTTCGCAGGTTTGAAGATGGAACCGCGCCGTTCCTATCTATCGCGTCGTTACAATATGGCTTTGAGATACTTTCGAAGCTAACTATGGACCAAATATCGAAACATGTCTTTTCTCTCGCCAAGACTCTGCATCACTCCCTGCTAACATTACATCATTGTAATGGTAAACAAGTTGTGAAACTCTACTCCGATTCTGATTATGAGGATCGCAACTCGCAAGGGGGGATTGTTGCGTTTAATCTTATCCGATCTAATGGTGAATACGTAGGATACATGGAAGTCGTAAATATGGCAGCGTTATTTAAGATTCACCTTAGGACAGGCTGCTTTTGTAATCCCGGTGCATGTCAGAGACACTTATCTCTCTCGCCTAAAGAAATTCTTCAAAACTACGAAGCGGGATACACGTGTGGCGGTGCTGCAGATTTAATAAATGGGAAACCGACCGGAGCAGTGAGAATCTCTTTCGGATATATGTCCACGATTAAAGACGTTCAGACAGTCTTACTTATGATTACCAAATGTTTCATCGACGAACCGTGTATCAGAAAATTTCCGCAATGGTGGGAAAACCGCAAGACAGGACTCCATAAAAACTACAGACATTTTTACAATTCCAACATCTTAGAATATTCTATTCCACGTATTACAAGTGACGAAAAAAATATTATAAACAATAATTTGCAAAATGATTTTCATGATAAACGTGAAAGCCTTGATCGCATTATAAATTCTATAAACTCTAATAAAATAAATGCACAAATACACAAATGTACCTTACAACGGTTATTTATATACCCTATCAAATCGTGTGGAGCATATGAAATTGCAGATTCATGGAATTTAAATTCAAAGGGTCTGGAATATGACAGAGAATGGATGATAATGACATCCTCTGGAACTTGCTTGACGCAAAAGCATCATACGAATCTATGTTTGCTCAAGCCTGTTATTTTTAGAAAGCAAAAGCTTATGAAACTAACATATCCAGGTAATAATGGTTAAATTTTATGATTGAAGCATTCTGCAATACAATTTAATATAGCGTTATTTTAGCGTAAGTAATAACAAATCGTTTTAGGAATGCCAACAATTGAAATCCCTTTAGAAGATACTTATGAGAAGTCAGTGGAACATCCTATATGTCAAAGCAGAGTATGTGAGAGTAGAGTGCAAGGTATTGACTGCGGATCAGAAGTCTCCGAGTGGCTGAGTTTGGCATTGGGCAAACCAAATCTTAGATTAATTCGACAAAGTCATAAGAGACAAAAGAAAGGTATGGTATAAATGCGAAAATGTTATGCCAAGTCCAAAGTTGCGGTTACTTAGATTAGTGGAGAACTTATTATTTCTCTCTTGCAGGATTAGATAAGGCAGAATTATCATTTTCTAGTCAGGCACAATATTTAGCGGTAAACGAAGCAAGTGTGTCATGGCTTATCGACAAGGTATCTGACGACTTAGATTTCGAAAAGAACACAGCTGTGCATCGATTCAGAGGAAACATCATTATGGAAGGCTGCAAGGCCTTTGATGAAATGCAGTGGGAACATGTTCGCATTGGAAATAATAAATTTAAAGTATGAATTTTTTATATTGACTAAGGCTGCGGTCCACTTGACGCTTTCTTCATTGAAAGAAAAGAGAAGAGGAATGCTTCGAAGCATTTGTAGCGTCAAGTGGACCGCAGCCTAAGATATTGATTTGAAGTATATTGCTACAATGCATTCAATGGCAGGTAAACGGTCCTTGCACGAGATGTCAAATGATATGCATTGATCAAACAACCGGCAAGAAAACTATCGAGCCATTAAGAACGTTAGCGGAAGAGTTCCATGGAAAGTTGCGATTTGGAATCTATTTAACTAGATTGGAAAATATGCAAGGTATACTTAAGATTGGCGATCATATCTACTATTCTTAAACAAATGATTTCTAGATTAATTATCTAAACTTTATGCGTAACTCATCATGAACAAACTACAGAAGAATCTCTACTGTATTAAAAAGTATATTAATATCTAATATATAATTAAGTACTAAATATTATTAAGTAAACAAGTATTTTAAAAGTTTATAGTAAATACATTTTTTATTTCTATAATAAATATCAATAAAATGAGCTTGTCGTTCTGTACCTGATCTACAAAAAAAAAAACGTGTTTACAATAGTACACAGTCCACGGGCTGTTGTTGGTCAACTTTCCTCACTGGTTTACCCACGGATACGTCTTTGATCATATCCGCGATCGCAACAAAATCGGGAAACGCAAGTGTTTGGAGCTTAGAATATACCAATTCATCGTTTACTTGCACTTCGAAGGAACCTAAAATCAAGATAACAGATATATTTCCATTTGTTCACGTTTGTTCATTCATATGATACATTTATGATACATTTACAACTTACCTTGCCTTCCTGCTGTGCCAGCGACGTGGACATTGGGGACATTCCTTTTTATCTCCTCCGCCAACTGAAGAAATTGTTTCTTGTGCCCACATGAGCCGCTGTAAAATTGTAATGATTTTATTTATCATCCAGCCACGAGATATCAATTTTCAAAAAAAATTTTCTTCAAAAAATCTATTCCTTAGGATTTTGATGTTATATTTATATTGTCTACAGAAATTGTAAAGAAATAATTCCATTACAAATTAGTATGTGTCTTTATATATTAAGTGGATAAATTTCGACATCGTGTACCTAAGTAGAACTGAATGCGCGTTAATTATAATCTGATCTAATTATAGTCTAGAATCTAGCTAGATTAACAAGGAATTTTGTTGGACGATTGTATGTGCACTCACCAGTATTCAACGTCAATTTTTACGTCCATCTCCTCTGCTTTTTTATCACATTTTGAGATAATCGTATAATTTGTAGCGTAAGCGTATCTGCCCTCCGACCTCCGATTATTGACCATCCATCCGCTAACTCATCATCAGAACTCGATGAATCTTCACCCATCAAGCAGCACTTAACACGTAACCTAACCTAACCTAACCTAATCCATGTTTACGAACAATAGTCGGTAATAAAAATAGTACTGTTATACTTTAAGCGTCGACGTGCTCCGTTCTTATTGTTTTTATACCTTGTTGACACACGTTTTAATGCACTGTCGGAAACAGAAATCCCACACGGCGATAAACAGACATTTTCGTCATATTGTGACGTTAAAAAATAATAAAAACAAAAAACGGAGTCGCGCACAGTAAATTCGTCTATCTCATTTGGCGAACGTATCGTTGCTTGTACTACATACATACATACATACTTATAACTCGTAACAATTCTCTCTTTCTCTCTCTTCTTCGCTCGTCGAGAAGCTTGACAGAGAGGCAAGTGCCAGGCAGAGGCCTCGGACAGGTTGACGCAGAGTCGCTGAGAGTCACTGTCAAGGTGCGTTTTCACTCATGTCGATAGGAACTCTATATCGGAGTCGCCTCGTAGCCGCCTACGTCGTGTAACCATGGTTGCCGTCATCGCCGACCGCCGTTATCGTATATGTATAACATAGACATATATAAGACGCAATTTTATAAAGTAAAAGTTAAATAAAGTAATAAGAGTAATAAAAAAGTATTGAAAAATATATAAAATACTAGCTGGTTACCCGGGCTTCGCCCCGGAGGACATGTGTAATAATACACGCAAATACTCTCTCTCTCTCTCTCTCTCTCTCTCTCTCTCTCTCTCTCTCTCTCTCTCCCTCCCTCCCCCTCTCCCTCTCCCTCTCCGAGATTCGATCAATTATTTCGCGTAAGAATTAAAAAAATTAGAAAAAACGGTTTCCAGAAGATCGGTAACGAAAAACTATATACTCTATAGCACTCCCCTGAAAATTCTACCCCTATTTTACATGGTTCTAATTTCTAATACAAATTCGGTCTAATAATTTTTAAGTTAAAAACGTTTAAACATACAC